CCCAGCGCTTGTATGCAGTCCTCGCTTGCGGGGCAGACCGTTGAAGATCCTTAAGTCTGTGGTTGAGGGTGACGGCTTTCGTGTGTGGCGACAACTATCAGATGAATTACAGCCTAAGTCTAGGCCTCGCAGCCTAGCCTTAGCCCAGGCACTCACCCGCTTCCCCCCTCTGCACGAGGGGGGGTCCGTCTTGGAGTACACTCTGATGTTTGAACGCCTCGTGGGGCAGTATGAGCAAGTGAGCAAGGGTCCATACCCGGACGATCTTAAGATTTCCACGCTTTTGTCTGGATTGCCACAAGACATCAAGAGATACCTGCAACTTCAAACCGACGAGCATACCACCTATGAGGTTTTGAGAACACGGCTGGTACAATTCGAATGTACACCAGCTACATGGTCCACGGAGCACGTGTTGAAGGCAATCGGTGTCGACAAGAGTTCCTCCTCGTTCCTTGCTCTCCCTGACGGTGTGGTGCCTATGGATGTAGATAGGGCAGAAGCAAAAGGAAAGAAAGGACCCAAAGGAAAGAAAGGCGACAAGGGAAAGAGCAAGGGAGACAAAGGGAAGAAAGGAGCAAAAGGAAAGAGCAAAGGAGACAAAGGAAAGAAGGGAGACAAAGGACAAAACAAGGGCAAGGAAGGCAAGGGCAAAGCAAGCAGCAGCAACAACACCTGGAGCATCAATCAAAGCAAGGTAGGTCCCTGCTGGACTTGCGGTCGTATGGGGCATGTTTCGGCAAGCTGCTATGCGAACACGAAGGTGAACCAGGTTGCTGAGGAAGATGCTGTCTCAACCTCTACCCGAGCCTCCTCGTCGTTGGGCCCCTCCGCGTCGGTAGCACCTACAACCACCTCGAGCCAATCCCAGGTAAGACGCATGGAGACGATCTTCGACGATCCTTGGGCGCCTTCTTCTGGCGCAGGCGGCGACGCAAGCCTCGAGCTGCAGACACCTTGGATTGAAGAGGTTTTCAGTGAAGAAGAGTACGATGAGCAAGATTGGGTTGCTTGGGATTCTTGGGATGGTTATGTTCGCAGGGTTGAGGGTGAAGAGTGTGAAGCGCCGTTGCCGTGCAGCAGTACTCTGGTCTTTTGCATAGCAGACGGTGACACTGACTGTGAAGATGAGTGTGATTGCGAATCTGAAGTAGATCCTGCTTGGAGTGCCGCTTGTGATCTTGCCGAGCTTTGCAGTGACAGTCCTGTGTGCGAAGAGTTCTGTGAAGTCCGTATGGTGCGCAGGGTTCCTGAAGAGGAGAGCTCGAAGCATCAAGTCATCCTCGACTCAGGTGCTGATATCACTGTGCTCCCGGCCTCGATGTTCAGAGACGTTGGCGCGCCGAGCGCCACCAGCGTCAACCTACTTGATGCTCAAGGCGGGGCAATTCCACAGCAAGCTGGGAGGACTCGAGTGACTTTCGAGGTTGAGGGCTACAACGGTGAGCGCATTTGCTTTAAAGATGATGTCATTTTGGCTAGTGTGAAGCAGCCTTTGCTTTGCCTCAGAAAGCTGATCCGCAAGAATTGGTTGTTGAGCAGACGAGACAATGATCGGCTTGTTCTTGAGAAGGATGGTAGAGCTTTTCGTGTTGATTGGAGCAAGAACTCCCTGTCGGCGTGCATGAAGATTTATAGCGCTGAAGCTTCTGATGAGAGTGCCCCTGAAGAGTCTTTGAGTGAAAGAGCTGTCGTTGAGCTGAGCGTCACCACTTGGGATTCCCTCTCGGAGCTGGGCTGGCAACTCACTGAAGATGGGAACCCAGCACACGTGGCTTTGGATGCTGAGCACACTGTGGACCCGTCGTTGGTCTACCCGTTGCCTGTGTATCCCTTTAGGACCACTTTGCTGTCGGTGAGCGGTAGACCAGAGCGGCAGTTTGAGATTTTCGAGTGTGCAGAGTATTGGGAAGCGAAGCCGGTGATGGATTTGGGGTTGAAGGCGAAGGTGATGATCACTGTTTTGACGAAGAACCCCATGGACCCACAAGAGATCGGAAATCTCGTTGACATTCCCCCGGTTGTTCCCTCGTTTCCGGAAGCTCCCGTAGCCGAGGCACCACAGCTCGAGAACGTGGACGATCCGATGGAGCCCGAAGCTGGTGAACGTGTCCTTGGCCCTGAAATGCACTTGGTCCCTGATGTTGGTGAGGTTTTGGAGGTTGCAGAGAAGACGTTGACTCCAGAGAGCACTTTGAGAGAGATGCGCAAAGCGTGTGAGTTTCTAGGAGTTCCGCGGTCAGGGGGGAAAGCAGTGGTGTGGGCGCGCCTCAAGCGGGAAATTTCCCTCAACAAGCTCAAGGTGGCGGTGCAAGCGTCTGATGCAGTGACCGAAGCTTTTGCTCATGATGCACATCCTCAAGCGTTACCAGTTCGACCTGATCCCGCCACAGTTGCACTTCACGAGCTGACGCACATCCCTAGGATGGATTGGTGTGAGTCATGTCAAGCCACTAGATCCCGTGAGGACAGCCACTCCACAAAACCTCCAGTTCGTGAACAGCCTGTTGTGTCCATGGACTTTATGTTCAATCGCACCGGGGATGATAAACCTGAACCAGAGCATCCAATGCAGACCCACCTCGTGGTCGTCGACCAGAACACAAAGTTTGTGCTCTGCATCCCGGTGCAGTCTAAAGGTTCGTTGAAAGTGGCCGTGGAAGAGATAGTGAAGCTTACCAGCAGCCTCGGGTATACCAAGTTGACCTTGCGTGCCGATTCGGAGCCAGCTATGGTCCAGCTGACCAACTTAGTCAAGATTGCGAGGTCGAGACTGGGGTTTGCCACCACGGTGGAGTTTGCTCCTCCGGACTCAAGTGAGCATCAAGGCTTGAGGGCAGAGCGGTATATCGATATCGTTAGGAAGCTTGGTCGTTGTCTGTTGCGCACAGTTTCCGCAACAACGAAGAGAACCATTACCTCAGCGCATCCCCTATTTAATTACCCTATATGTGTGGTGTTTCAGGCATGCAGCATTTTTGTTGAGTCGTTTTCGTGTGCATTCCGACGGCTGCACTTCTTTCGAGCTTGTACACGGGCGCAAATATGAAGCCAAGCTCGCACCGTTTGGTTCCACGATCTTTGCGCATCCTATCCCCAAACCGAAAGCCAAGGGTGTTGCGTGGGAGAAAGCGGTGTTCCTGGGCAAGTCAACGGTGGGCAACCTGAACATCATCAGTAACGCCAAGGGGGTCCAGTATTCACGTACCATGCGGAGGGCTGCCGAAGAGTATCAAGCTGATCTTGTGATGGCCATGCGTGGTGTTCCCTGGGACCCTAGAGAAGATGTCGTAGGAGTGAAGTTGAAGCCTCCACTTCGAGTTCGTTTTCCCGTTGCAGCCGAAAGCGGTCCTCCCCCTCCTGAACCCGAACCTCCAGTTGGCACGGCAGCTCAGGATGAAGCAGGCAGCGACCCAGAGAGTCCGGGAAGCAGTATTCTTCAAGGGTTGGATGCTGTGTCGCATCCTGCCCTCTCGTCTTCGAGTGCTTCTTCAAGTGCCAGCCAGCAAGCTAGTTCAATGGAGTTGCTTCCAGACCACCAGCCGATGAACACTGACCGTGTTGAGTCTGAAGTTGTGCACTTTATCGTCGAACAGATGTAGGTGATTTCGAGCTAGGCCATGAAGACGATATTGTCGCATGCGGTGAAGATGAAGAGCTAGAGGAAGTGAGTGAAGAGCCCGCGTTTTCTGTGAGCGCTTCTGGTTCCCCTGAAAGAAGTGATGAAGGAATGCCTTGGGAAGGTAGGCGGTTTGAAGAGGGCCCACCAGAGCTGTCATCCGAGGCACTGGCGTCACTGGACGCCCAGATGGAAGAGAAAGAGATTCAGCGGTCAGCGGCTCCTGGAAATGGGAGTGTTGCGCAGCTTGGTCAGCGACTCTGATTGCAAGGGGAAGTTCAAACTCAAGTGCCGCTACGTCAAGGATTGGCGGTACCGCGGAGGTTGGTGTAGAAGAGCACGTTTGGTAGCAAAGGAGTACAAGTTCCTCGAGCCTCATCTCCAGGATATTTACTCACCGGCCTCCACGGCGTGTTCTCAGAAACTTCTGGCCTGCCTCGCGGCCACAAATTCGTCTCTCGAACTTTGGTCAGTAGACATTACAGACGCATATCTTCAAGTTCCACAGAAAAGGCCCACCTACATTGAGACCCCGCTCGGTAACCTCGAGCTCTTGTACAACCTTCCAGGTCAAAGATCGGGGGCAAAGGATTTGTACGAATTCTTCAAAGATGTGGTCACCGAGCAAGGGATGCAGTGTTTTGAGGGGAGTCCTTCCCTTTTCGCGAAACCCCAGGAAGCTGGTCTCAACAGCCACGTGGATGACTTCCAAGTCCTCGCGGTGGCCGGCAAAGGAAAGCAACTTGTTGAGAAGATTGAGGAGAAGGGGCTCAAGGTTAAGGTTGAGGGTCCAGTGACTTTGCATGGTGGAGAAGCGAGCTTCTTGAAGAAGACGTTTGAAGATGGCAGTGACAGCATTCTTGTAAAGCTGAACAAGAAGTACATCGAGCGATTGGTTTCCTTGCTTGGTCTTGAGAAGGCGTCAGGAAAGATGACCCCAGTTCCAACAACGATTCCCAAAGCTGGAGACGGCGAGCCTTTGGATGCAGGTGACCACGCGCTTTATCGGACGTGCATAGGCATCTTGTTGTATATTTCGGGAGACAGACCAGATGCTCACTATGCCACGAAAGTTTTGTCTTCGCGGTGCAGTTCCCCCACAACCTCAGATCTAGGTCTTCTTCGGCATGTCGTGAAATACCTCAAGAACCACCAGCATCTAGCGGTGCAGTTGTGTGCCACAGAGCCGGGGAGAAGCGTGTTTCAAAGATGGAATGGTGTTGCTTTTGAGGGGGTGACTGTGCTCGTGATGCTCCTTTCGGAAAGATGCACCTTGTGGAGGTGGTGACCGATGCAGATTGGGCGTCTCAAGTATTTCCACAACGACGTTCCATTAGCTCATTCTGCATACTCGTCAACGGCAACTTGTGCCACTGTGGGAATCGGGTCCAGAAATCAACAAGCCTTAGCAGTGCCGAGTCAGAGTTATGCGGTAGTCTACTTGGAGTCCATGAAGCTTTGTTCGTGTGCCGCATGCTCCAGTTCCTGTGTGGATGTGGATGCGAAGCCAAGTTGGTGCATTATGTAGACAATAGCGCGGCAAGAGCGGTTATCCAACGTGAAGGTCTTGGAAAGATGAAGCACATCGACTTGGCATGGCTTTGGATCCAAAGGGCCCACAAAGACAAGCTCTTCGGCTTCGTGACGAAGCCCATCAGCACAGCAATTTGTCCTGCAGATTTAGCCAATTTAGCCACGAAGAGTCATCCTAGGAGAAGGTCAAAGTTGTTGTGTGGTTTGGTTGGTATGTTTGATTGTGAACATCATGAAGTGTTCGGTGCTCAAGAAGTTGTTCAACAGAACTTTGGTTCGCAGAAGGTTCTTTCGAAAGCCCAGCTTTTCAGAGTCTGTGTCATGCTCACACAAATCAACGGTGCATTGGGACTCTCTTTGGACGTCGACACCGCAAACATCGCGACCGACTTCTTCAAGGACTACGTCGACTACGCTATGGATCTCGTCTTCTACAACAGCGGCGACTTCATCTTCTACGTGATCCTCATGGCGATGGTGGCAACTCTTGGAATGATTATCTTCGACTTCTTCGTCTACAAGGTCTTCGAGCTCTACAACAACAAGGTGCAGAAGAACCACAGCGTGAAGAATGGTGGCCGTGGTTTCAAGATCTTGCTCTTCATGCTGCTTGTTACCCAGGTTGGAAGTGTCAAGTACACAGTCACCGTGGAATTCAACTCAGACGGAAAGGCCATCACGGAGGAAGAGCAGACGCCCGTGATGATCATGATCAACCAGGTCGCTTCCACGACTCCGAGTTCTACTACTTCTGCTTCGAGCTCAACGGCGACGTCAGGTTCTACCTCAACGAGTTCTACGGCAGCGACGGAAAGCACTTTGCAACAAACCTCAGCAGCAGCACACCAGACTCCAGTGCCACCTACGGTCAACGTCTACACGATTGGGCATGGAAAATGTTTCCATGGAAGAGGGTGCGGAATGGTGCAGCGCTCCATGAGGTTGGAGCCACACAAGGTCCATGGACCGATGAGCCATCGTGAAGCTCAGCGCTTAGGATATAGGTGCTGTGAACAGTGTAAACCACTTTCGAGCTTGAAGTGACAAGGTTCGCCTAAGGTGCCGCGCTGTCGGAAAAGGAAGGAAGACGGACTGCAACTTTTCCTGACGGAAAGACCGCACGGTAACAATGCACTAAAGCAACTTGTGCTAAAGTTTCGTAGCAGGCGATGTCTTTATGTGCAGGTCTGCAAAGTGGAAGGCCCAGGCAGGAAAGTTCATCAAGTGCCCACTTCTGAGAACACCAGACACAGGCTCCAGACAGAAAGTTAGTGAAACCGCCGATTCCAACCAAGTCACCGTCTGCACGAGCATCTGCCAAAGCATCAACCTCGAGACGCAAAGGTGTGACAACGAAGTATACGTCTGGGATCGCAAACGCCATTCCTCCCAAACTTCGAGACAAGGTCTTGCTGGCCGTGGAAAGTGACCTCCTCGTTGAGGCCGGGTTGGTCATTAGCATCCATATCCTGCCTGCAGCGCGAACTTTGAGTAAGTCGCTTGTTGTTGCCACCCAAAGGAAAGGCTGTACCGGGAGGGACTTTGTGGAAATGCATGTCATCATCAAGATATTGGGGCAAAGAAGGCCACATAGATATATTGTAGCTGGAAGCCAAATGTCGGCGTAAGTCTGCAAACAGGGAGGCCAACCGTGGTTTGCATGACTTGTAAAGCTGGCAAAACCATTGCAAAAACCCGACCAACTTGTGAAGCAAAGCACTGGTCACCCGCCTGGAATACAAAGTTTCTCGTATCAATCCCAAAAGTTTCTCTGTACCTTCTCAGGACGGACACGACACGAAAGGAGCCGCTCATAAAGTCAAATGACCAGCCTATCCACGTAATGGAAGTAGCTTGAAGGAACACCAAGCATGCAGCAAAACATCAGCAGCAACAAAGCAAGTATGGTCTCGCGACCCTGTACGCAAAGGAAGTCGTCGATGAAGTCCAGTAAAGCATGACGCACATACATTTGGTCTTCTTCTCGAACCCTTATGGTTTTATGCGCGGACTTGGCATCCAGGTGGAAGCCGCAAAGTAAACCATCATGGTTTCGTAAAGGAACCGGGCCCCGCGCATCCTGAACGCCTGGTAAAGTACACCTTTCAGGGATGCTGCAAGCGTCGCTCGTGTCGCCCACTGTGGAGTCAACAACCAAATGTGGCGCTCGAGGCGGTGAAAGTACCCAGGACATCTTGCCAACTGCCTCTCATAAAGCCAGCCTTCTCAACTTCCGTTTGCACCAAAGCTCACAAAGTCTCTGAATCATTATTGGCACTCCGCCAAGTGTCTTTTGCAATGGAAAGTTGGTAATCCAGCTCGGGCGCAGAAGGGCTCGGCACACAAACACTTTGGAAAGTGGCACGTCTTCGTCGCAGCCCATTGGGACACCATCCAACAGACACTGACGTAAAGTATGGCCCCTGTCCCGGCATGCAAAGCATATGGCTAAGTCAATTCAAGGTTGCACCCCAAAATCAAGAGTCAGAAGGGTTTGGCCAATCAAGTGCGCGCTGGAGGATGAGTCAACACAGGGTGGCCTGGATCACGGGTTACAAAGGT